CGAAGAGCCGACTACTTTCCTTCCCCGACCCGAGTAAATCGGAATCCGCCTCCGCCGCCGAGCGTCTGGAGTACATCTGGATCTTGAGCTTCTCCACCCGCTGGAGCCTGGAGGCAGAGCTCGCCACCCGCTGGGTCAACCTCGGAGGTCTGCGCACAGCCTTGGACATCTACGAGCGTCTACAGATGTGGGCTGAGGCCGCTCTCTGCTACGCCGCCACCGAACGAGAGGACAAGGCCAAGTACCTCGTCCGCAGACAGCTCTACCAACCCACCGGCACGGACCCCGACGATGAGAACGAGAAGTTCGATGGGCCCGAACTCTCCCCTCTCCCCGCCGATGCGCCCCGCCTTCTCTGCATCCTGGGTGACATCGACACCGACCCAGCCATGTACGAGCGCGCCTGGGCAGTCTCCAACAACAGATACGCTCGCGCCCAGCGCTCCCTGGCCCGTCACTACCTCAGCCTGAAGCCCCCAGCTCTCGACAAAGCCGAAGACGCCTACCTCAAGAGTCTCCACATCAACCGTCTTAACCACGGCGCCTGGTTCGCCCTGGGCTGCGTGCAACTGGAGCTCCAGAAATGGGACGACGCCATCGACTCTTTCACCCGCACCGTCCAGCTTGAAGACACCGACGCCGAAGCCTGGAGTAACCTGGCCGCCGCGATCCTGCGCTCTCCCAAACCCGCAGAATCAACCGAACCCTTCCCCATCCCCATCACCGAGGCCCCCGTAAAGGCCGACGACGAAGAAGACGAAGAAACCCCCAACCAACCCGCTCCCGAAGACCCCTACAAGCGCAAACGCGAAGCCCTAGCGGCCCTCCAACGCGCTGCCCAACTCAAGCACAGCGACGTCCGCATACTGGGACAACGTCCTCACCGTGGCGGCCTCCATCCCCCCGCCCTTCACTCCCTTCCGCGAAGTCATCACCGCCCAACGCCGTGTCATCGAACTCCACGGCTCCAAGAACGGCGAGAAGTGCATCGACCTGCCCATCACAGGACTGCTCGTGGACCACCTCGTCACTGCATACAACTATTCCGACCTCCTCATCTCCATCGATGGCGACGATTCCAACGCCAAGGTCGTCCGCAGCGGCACCATCGCCGGCCAGATCCTCTCGCTCATCGACACCAGCATCGTTCCGCTGATCACGCACTCCGCGCCGCTGTGGCTCCTCGTCGCTAGGGTGGAGGTGTTCCGTGAACGCCCGAGCATGGCTTTCGAGGCGCATGAGAAGGCGTGGCGCGCGACGGTTGCCTCGGCCTCGCAGGGCGCGTTCCAGATGGCTGATGAGAAGAGGTGGATGGAGATTGTGAAGGCTACGGAGAGGTTGGTGAGAGATGGGTATGCGCGGTTTGGTCCGATGGATAAGGAGGGTACGGAGGAGATGGTCGCGAAGGATTGGAGGTTCAAGGCTAGGAGTGCGGTTAGGGGCATTTTGGGTAAGGGCAAGGAGTTTTGGGAGGATAGTGAGGGGTGGGAGAGGTTGAAGGAGTTGCAGAGTGAGGTGGGGAGCAATTAGTAGATAGTGATGGTTGGTGGTGTTATTCAATGGGAGGGATGATTTGAAAGAAAAAGTATTATACTGTTCTTGGATTGTGATTGCGAGAGCAGAAGCAGCAGCAGCATATACATAGATCATTTATGAGAGTTCATTTGTTTGTTCGATTTGGTTGACCTCTAATCTGCGCTAGAAATCCAGGGTGCAATCATGCATCTACTTCCTATCTACAATTGTAGCTACTGATTACTCTCAACCTTCCTCTTCAACATCCCACAAAAACTCTCAAACAAGACCGTATCCCTCCCCTTCAACCATCTCACAATAACCCTCACCCCCTTCTCATCAATTGCATCTTTCTTACACTGCACCTTGAACCCCAGCGCTGCCTTCGTCTCATCAATCTCCCCCATCTCAGCCATCGCATCCGGGTTCTGCATCTTGCGACGCGCCTGCCGAGACCAGACGTTCTGCATTGCAAACCCGACTCCCGTGGCGAGGTTCTTGCGCCACAGCCATTGGACGTGTAGGGCGGAGAGCTCTGAGTCTATCTTGGCGCTTACCTCGTCGATGGACTCGGATTGTGTGGTGAATATGTATTCTGAGGGGAAGGGGAGGAGGTGTTTGGGGATGGCGGTGGTGCCTCGTGCTATGGACTAAATAGTTGTTAGTTTGGTTGTTTGGTGGGATAGGAGAAGGAGGAGGGATAGATCGTACGACTGTCGGACGGAGATCGGTCCATGACCAGGATATGGCCCATCTTCGGGTTTTGTTTCCTTGGACGAATTCGGTCACGGCGTAGTTGTTGTTCTTGTGTTCGAGGAGCGTCTCGATGAGAACGGATACGCTGCTTAGTTTGCCGAGCATGGTGGTGTACCAGATTACTCGCTCGCGGAGGCGCAGGCTTTCTTCGATCATGCGCGTGATGAAGGCGATTTCGCCGCCAGTGGTCACCATTTCTACCTCGGCGCCGGTGCAGGCCTATTAGGATTAGTGAATGGCGGGATGAGGATGGGCGATGATCAGGTTTACCGAGAAGGGAGGTCGCTCTTTGGCTTCTGCAGAAGCTATTAATTCATCGCGCGAGGCGTAAAATGGGGGATTGCACATGGTGAAGTCAAGTCTGTGGAGGGTTAGTGGTGTATAGTGAGAGTGGGGGGTTGTAGTTACCTGTCGACATTGAGCTTCGTGTCTAATGGAATCAGCTCATCCTTCGGGTCTGTCTGGATGATCTCAATGCGAGAATCAAGTTTGTTCTTAGAGATTGTGTCTCGCGATGTTCGGATGTTGTCTTTGTCGATGTCTGCGTACGTGTGAGTAAAGGCGCAGACGGCATAGTATTGAACATACCTGTTGCGACGAAGCGCCAATGAGGTCGCATGGAACAACCTAGCAGGGGGTAGATACTGCAGCATCCTGTCCCACTTAACTAGTGGGTTAGCGACCGAGTTCTCCGAAGGTGGAGTGGTGAAATACATGTCAAGTCCGATAACTTCTCGGTCAGGGTCATAGTTATCGCGGTATTCATCGCCAGTGGTATCGAGCAGGTCTTGCAGCCACAGGATGTAATTGAGTCTATACTTGGGGTCAGCTGCATTGCACAATGCAACTAGTCTATAGACAGGCAGTCATTTACCTATTTGGGACCTGCACGTGTCCTTGTTAGCTGCAGGAACGGAAATCGGCAGCTGGCAGACGTACCGGTGGACACAGTCGATTTTCCGGAATCTCGACTTTCAGCTCAAAGTCGCGTTGCAGCAGACTCTTGGTCAATTGACTTGAGTACGTGTCAGTGGCAATTGCAGCTACCATTCAGGTTAGTCTCTGACCCACCGAACAGCGTCCGGGTCGCTAAAGTCCAGCTGCCCATTGGATTTCAAGCTGGAGAAGTTTTAGTGAGTTGAGATGAAAGTGAGCACACAGGTTACACCGGATGGACTGACTACTTTGCAAACTCGGGAGACTGCAAGGCAAGAGCCGTAAAGTCCACCTCATCCTTGTAGATATTGCGCAAGGCCCTCATGGTGTGCTACTGGACGTGAAAATGTGAGTGCTTTGTGCCACTGGTCAGGGACGGCATCGTGCACAGTGGACTGTGTGGTGCTGGACACAACCAATGGCAGCGGGTGGAGCGTACCGGAAATCCTCCCCCGATACGGTAGAGGCACGCTATTGCTAGGCGGCCTATCGCTTGCTTTCGAGAAGAATGCCCAGACGGAGTCTCCGAGACCGCGTTGGTTGAAAAACAGGGAATTGCAGTGGTGCGACAGACCAGAAGATCACGGAAGTCTGAATGGAATGGAATGGCTGGTAATGAGTGACGACTGCTATGCCTGAGGCGATAAGGCTGGGAGGAGGGGGTTCTGTCTCAGGCACCCAGGCAGTGATGTCATGCTCGCGTTGGATTCAATCTGCCAATCTACTCCGGACTGCTTGATCTAATCTACTTTGTATTTAAAGTCTTCTTCCTCTCCAGTGCGTCTCTGGAAAGTGGAAACTGGTTTTTCTTGCGCTGCAGCTGCTCTGAAATCTGGATCTGCCCCCCGCCGATCCGCCGATCTGAAACATTCATCCATTCAGCGGTTCAGGCAGCATCGCAACCGATAGCTCCATCGGCCTCGTGTGGTGGAGCCCGCGTTTCTTCCTCCCCCTCATTTTCCGTCCCTACAGGGCGGCTGCTCCAACAATTGTTCTGCTTCTCCCCCTCTTCTCCTCAGTCCCTCATTCTCTCTGGAGGCTGTCGATCTGAATACGCCGCCATCATGGACAAATTTAAGCATAAGATTGAAAACCTGGAGGAGCAGCTCAAAGGTCATTCTTGTCTCCACTGCTCTGAATCCCACTAACCGCCCTCCGTCCCGACAGAAACCCACATCGAGGAGAAGGCTTTCCACCTCAAGCACAAAGTTGGCAAGTTCTTCAACATTGTCAATCCCAATCATCGCCATGATGAAGCGCACGAGAAAGCCACCGATGCCAAACGAACCGCTATCTCCGAATCCCACCGCTTCAAGTCGTTCGCGCCGATCCGTGAGGGTAACAAGGTCAAGTGGTACGTCGATGCTCTGGACTACATGTGGGCCGTCTCAATGGCCCTAGAGGAGGCCAAAGAGACCATCTACATTGCCGATTGGTGGCTGTCTCCTGAATTGTTCCTCCGGAGACCCCCGTTCATGGCACAGGAATGGCGGCTGGATCAGGTTCTCAAGCGTCGCGCCGAGGCGGGCGTCAAAATCTACGTGATTGTGTACAAAGAGGTTCGTTCAGGTGCCAGTCACATCGTTTATGATGTTGCTAAAAGATATGGTCTAGGTCAACCAAGCATTGACTTGCAACTCCGCTCATACCAAGCACGCGCTGCGCAATCTTTGTCCCGAAGGAAGCCCTGGGTACGGAAACATCAGAGTCCTGCGCCATCCGGATCATAACATCTTCGAGAACGCAGCTGACATGACCTTGTACTGGGTGAGTTGGAATCCTGGATCATCCGGCAGCGCGTGCTAACTTCATCAGGCGCATCACGAGAAGTTCATTGTCATCGACTACGCATTGGCATTCATCGGAGGTATTGATCTGTGTTTTGGAAGATGGGACGCTCACCAGCATCCCTTGGCCGACGTCCACCCCTCGAACTTGCGAAACGAGGTCTTCCCCGGACAGGAGTTCAACAACAACAGAATCATGGATTTCCAGAGCGTGGGTGACTGGCAGGCCAACGAACTTAGCAAGGCAGAGTATGGTCGAATGCCTTGGCACGACGTTGCCATGGGTGTGATGGGCGACTGTGTGTATGACATCGCAGAGCACTTTGTCTTGCGGTGGAACTTCATCAAACGGGACAAGTACAAGCGGGACAACAGTGTGGACTGGCTGATGCTCGAGGGTCGTACTGGAGACGATGAAGATCTTGTTGCGGTTCAGCGTCCCAAGTTCCCTTGCGGAGAGTACTTGCAGCACCCTCTTACGCCTCTAGATACGAAGCCGCTCGGCCAGCAAGGCTTTGCACGAGCGCAGATCGTGCGCAGTAGCGCCGACTGGAGCAGTGGAATCTTGACTGAACATAGCATCCAAAACGCTTACAAGGAGATCATCAGCCAGGCTCAGCACTATGTCTACATTGAAAATCAATTCTTCAGTAAGAATGTCCACCCTCAGCACTGCACCAGCTGCTAACCCCACCAAGTCACTGCTACTGGAGACAAGCAGGCGCCGATCCTCAACACCATTGGGCAATCCATCGTCGAGGCTGTTGTCAGAGCTGGCAAGGAGGGAAGAAAGTTCCGAGTGATCATTGTGATCCCAGCCATCCCTGGATTTGCGGGAGACCTCCGGCAAAATGAAGCGACAGGCACTCGCGCCATCATGGATTACCAGTACAAGTCGATCTTGCGCGGTGAACACTCGATTTTCGGCCAGATCGCCGCCCAAGGCGTGAACCCCAGAGGTAGGTTGAACTTTGTGTCCGTCCGAGTTCGCCAGCTGATCTAGCTAGAACACGTTTTCCTGTTCAACTTGCGCGCATACGATCGTATCAACAAGACCCCTTCTCTTGTCAAGTTGGAGTCAGAGGCAGACGTGACTTACAACGATGTTCAACGTGGCATTGCTGAGTCTATCATGAGTGACAGTGTCCACCCGGCTATCGGCAAAGAGGGCGACAAGCATGAAGTGGGGTATGACAATGCCCAACAGGAGAAGGAGGTTCGTCTCGCACGGCTGCGTAAGTACGAGGAGCAGTTTGAGCGTCACAAGGAGATGGAGGGCCTCAAGGGTAGCGACACCGTAGCCCACACCACCATGCTCAACGGCGGCAACATGTCCGATGAGCCGTGGGAAGGCGATCCCGAGGCCGAGAAGGAGAACTTTATCCAGGAAGAGCTCTACGTGCATGGAAAGGTGTGCATTGTCGATGACCGAGTTGTCATTTGTGGAAGTGCCAACATCAACGACAGGGTATATTCCCCAGCCCTTAATCCCTCATATACACTATACTGATCAAGGGCAGTCCCAACTTGGCTACCATGACAGCGAGCTTGCTATTGTTGTTGAAGACGAAGACCTCATCGGCAGCATCATGGATGGCAAACCGTACAAGGCCGCCCGTGTCGCTGCCACTCTCCGTCGCCAGCTCTGGCGGGAGCACCTTGGCCTCCTCCCCGCTCAGCACTATGACGCTTCTGAAGACCCGAACGCAAAGCCCCCCTACATGTGCATGAACCACATTTTGGAGGGGCCCGAAGACGACTTCGTCACCGATCCCATGAGCGACGAGCTCTGGGAGATGTGGACCGGCCGCGCCACTGTCAACACCGACATGTACCGCATGCTATTCCGCGCCGACCCCGACGACAATATCCGCACGTTCGATGACTACGACAAATTCTGTCCTCGCGGCAATAAGCAAGGTCACTTGTTCGACCCCTACCAGCCGGTCGAGGAAATCCGAGAGAAGCTGGATAAAATCAAGGGCCATCTGGTCTGGATGCCACTGGAGTTCTTGAAGGATGCCAACATGGCCGAGCCTGGATTGGCGGTGAATCAGATCACAGAGGTGATACTACCTACCTCCCGATATTTGTGTGAAACATGAGCTAACGTATCACAAATCTCATCTACAGAGTATCTACACCTGAGTTTTGCCTCCTACCTGCAGTACCGATTGTTAGTCGACAGGTTGTACTTGCTTTACATACCTAGTACCTAATAATACATACCACTATCATACCCGCCATCGACGCCACAGACTAGCCTCGAGGAGCAAAGAAAAGGAGAAAAACGAACCATCTAGAAGACCACCTACGTAGAGACTAAACTCCACCCTAAAAGGGCCCGTGCCCACACCACGGATCACCCATTCCTCCTAGTCCTGCCATCCCGTGTTATCCCATCCCAAGCCCATGATCCATCCCATAATCCTAAAATCCATCTACTTAAATTCTAATGATCCATAGTGCCCAACTCAACCCAACCTCCCGGGATCCCAGGATAGTAGGTAAGTAAGCAAGAGAGTTTACCCTGCGATGCGGAGTACATGAACCTTCTACGCAAGGGATATTCAACGAAAACGGAGAGACCGAGAGACCGAGAAAAGAAAGACACACACACACACACACACAAGCACGCACTCACACATACATACCTAAGACAAGTACCCAAGTAAGTAAGTAAGTACTGTACATACTAGGCAAAGTACATACAGCCACACCCACAAGCATGTCCCAAGTACCCAGTGAATTAGACAAGTAAGTGGATGGATAAAACATCCACTCACTCACTGACCATACAGTATCTCCAAAGTAGAAGAATTCCTGAACTCTAAAGTTCAAGGGATGTTTTATCCGGACACTACCCCCCCTTCTCTCTCTCTCTCTCTCCCCGCGCATCGCCCTATTTCCCAGTTCGGTATTCGGGATTTGATATCTCACATACTTAAGCATGACCTACAGTAGTTAGTTACCTGGTAAGTAAGTTAAGTAAGCCTCATTTAGTTATTTTTTTTTTCCAAGCTTCCATACTTACATTTACATACTTATTTCATACCTGCATGCATGACTTGCTTACAGACAGATAGCCCCGTTCATGTATACGATCCTAGTTATAACCATGAAGACTAATAGAAGTATGTGGATAGTAAGCTACTGACTCAGAGATTAAGAAAACCAAAAACCCCCCCACCAAAAAAAAAAAAAGAGGATGACCGTACTACTAATTATCAGTTAACTAGTTACTACCTTCCCTAAATAGATAGTATTCACTAAATCATCACCTGTTCCAAATTCGAGATAGACTAGACTACCTAAGTACTCCGTAGCACACTAGAATAAATAGTCCTAACTCTGTGAACTCTGTAGAATCTATCTAGTATTAATTTTCCTTTTTTCGAATTGACTTTTCCGATACATCATGCACCGCGCCCGATTTGGTAAGTAAAACTAAACTGGGGTAGGCTGGATTGGAAGTTAAGTGCAGATTTCCTGTTTGGTTGGTTGGGTGGGTGGTCCTCTTTTCTGTCTATTTTTGCGGGTCGGAAGGAGGCCGGGGGTGGCCCACTTTGCTTGTCATTAAGGAATTGTCATTATTATTAGTGGGGAAATTATTGACGGGGATAAATTTAATTTGGGTCAAGTAGATAGATAGATAGTCTACTCCGTAGATAGTTTGTTTATCGTAAAGTATGTTATGTACAGGTGTGTCCCGGGATCTTCGTGTGTCATGTCTGTTTTAGCGTATTGGGAATTTGCCAAGGAGAGGGAATGTGTCTACGGATTGTGGTAAGAGTCATGCCATTAAATTTGCGTCGCCGCATTGTATTCCTGATAAGGATCTATAAGTCATCTCTATCGCACAAAAGATTTCAAAAAACAAACAGACAGAATTGAAAAAAGGGTCGAGTGTAATAAGACAAAGAATGCAAGGCTCTCTCTGCTTTGAAAGGAGACGCCGGCATAGGAATCGAATCACCAACAGACCGTTTGTTTCGGAACCCTGAACACCGGAGCGATGCTGCTTTTTGTGGCGAAAGTAGATCGTGCACATATGAAATTCCGGCCGTGGCTCTGCATCAGAAGGACTTTTCGGACTTTTCGTCGGGAAAGAACATAAGAAACAACGGCAAAAGCACGAAAGGGGGGCGGGAAACGAGTGGAGAGGACGATATTAGTGGCGGGGAAGGGGAAAAAGCACTGCCTGCACCGCGTCTGCGGTTACGAGTCGAGGCGCATCTCCTCTGGTCGCGACAATGAGTTAATATCAAATCACACTCAGGTAGCCACGGCTTTGATGTTGATCGATTGAGATCTGGCCGGAATAGGAAGATATCCGATTGGACCAGACCACAAAGCAGAGGCGCACTTCCGTCGACCCTACTCCGATCTGGGGACACCAGCAAACCGAGGGGACAATGCGCAGTATGCCACAGTGATGGAGGAAAATTTTTCAAACAGTCGCAGGAGAAACCGAACAGAATTGAAAAGCGAACGAAATGGGAAGAAAAAAGAATTATTAAAATCAAATGGCGCAAAGAAAGGGCTGATAGGCTTTCGGCAGGTATGGCGCGAGGAGTGCTGCAGAAGGCTTTTTCGAAGTTCCAGGAAATGTACGAATCAAACTAGGAATAGAGGTTAGCTTATAGTTTCACAACTGGTACACAGCCTTCCACAAACAATTGCAGTCAGGCCACTTGCGCACTTACCGATCGAGAGGCAAAAAAAGCATGCGTGACGTGATTCCTCTTAGCCTTTAGCGGTGTGGCAGGAGTTGCAGCGACAGTGGTTACAGATCTTGCAGCGCCAGATAGCGACATACGGACCGGAGTTGCAGTCAGAGCATCGCCAGGTAAGGATATTCCCGTTTGTCGCCTGCACGATGACGAAAACGTGACCCGAGCATTGGTTGGCCATTTCGTCGCTAATTCCCAGCATGTTAATATCCTTCCAATTTGTGTGTTGCCAGGAACTGGAAATCATAATGAGGATCCTTTCACATACTACTTTCTGCCACAGAAGTGGTGGGTGTAGAACTATGCGTAAATCGCGCAAAGCTGCAGTGATACGAGATATCTCGTGATATTCAAGTGCTGAAGCCGAAGGGATGGAGAGCCCCGGAGCTTCTTCAATTGCAATGCAAGGCAAACGACCTGGTTGTCCCTGAGAGTGTAGACGAAAGAGCAGAGTGGAAACCCTGAAATGAGAAAGGCGACAATGGAGTTGTCTGAGAGTCAAGGAAGAGAAGAATGAAGAGAGAAAGAAGATGGATGTAATTGTTGATGATGGATGAAAGACAAAGGACGTTTGGGATGCGTCGCCATAGCTTTATATAGAGGACGAGGTTTCAAATTGGACCAGCGCATGAGACATCTCCTTTTTAGTGATGCGATGGGTGCATTGCTTCGGATTGACCGTTGTTCAGAGAAGGTCCCAGCAGCTGTACGAGGTCCAGACTAGAAGCAGGTCTGCTGCATGGAATGCTCTTTCCGTCGGCAGGGAATCAAGCTGCAAGTACCCGAGGCTGTCGACGGGTCATTAATTGAGTGGAGAAAGCGACAGAGAGTTAAGTGATGGATAACAAGCGACAGGGAAGAGGGTGTTGTGAGGAAGGAAAGGATCCAGCGATGTAAAAGGAGAATGTGATGGACAAAAACAGAAATATGGGGGAGGTTGGTGGGAAGAACGAGGGTGCAGATGGGGGAAGATTCGGGGAATAAGCTGTCAGAAAAGGTATTAAGTAGGTAGTTAGTTTGCATGAATGGTTAAGGGAAAAGAACAAGTACTCTCTCTAGTACTATGATGTGTGTGTGAGAGAGAAAGATCCATGGGTTGAGTGCCGGACCCCGAAAAGGCAAAAGAAAGCACACGACCAACCTACATCATTCTCACGATCCCATCCCATCATCTCCTATCCTAGTCAACCACAAATCTGGGTCTGGGAAGCGCGACACAAGCTAATCCAGGAACCTAGTCTAGAAGGAGATGATGGAAGTGATATATCGCCGCCAGTGGACCCAACCAAGTGGGTGCGGAACTGTAGGCGACAGCCGCTTATTCCTTAATTCCTTTTTCCCTTTTTTACTAGCCCTTTCTTCGTGTTTTGTTTTTTCTTTTTTCTGGTCTGCGCTCAAGTCTTTAAGCTTTCACCCCTAAAATTAGGATTTCCCCAGGGAGGAGCTGAAGCTCGACCCGGGAATGCCTGGACTCAGGATCTGGAACCCCCATTCCCGATTCATGCGCTTCCGTTTGGGGGCTGAATGGGTTCCAGCCCTGCGGTGCGCTGCTGCTTTGGCGTGCAGATCTGACCCGACGCTGTTTAGTCTGTCTATCCTGGTTCTTGAGAGCATAGGCCATTCTGATGGAGCATCAAGTAGATTCCCATTCTGTAGATGGTTGTTGACTTTCTTGTGACCCATCTTCCCCATCTCCACCCTCCATCTCTATCTTGCCCAGTCTCTAGTTGTACAGAGGCAGATGCGGACGACTTTCGGTCCCCACCAGGTTGATAGAGGATGGGGCACGTCCGAAGAGGATATCTGGGAATGATAGACAATTCTCTGTCAGTTCAGTCCAAAAAATGTATCCCTGTTTGTCACTCTTATTTTTCGGAAACGTCATGCCCATCCGATTTGGGAAAGCCGGATCATCTTAGTGTCGTCCGTGAAGACCAGCTCATCTCCGGTCTATCTGAACAGGATGCCCCATCTGCTGAGCTTCTGCCAACTTGTTTGATCTTGTAACATCACCGAGCTGCTCCGGTTGTTAATGGACGGTGCCTTTTCAGCCATTTTCGACTCCTCTCACGGCCCACGACAGGAGCACACATCGACGTCCGATTACAGTCGATCCACCATCACCAGCAGGGATTCCCCGACCGGACGAACAACAAGTACACAGGCACATCTTTTCGTCTTCAAGCCAGGATCTGCATCGCATCGTCCTTTCATTCATACCCTCCCTTCGTACCTTCCACTCTTGCACCCGTCCTTCCGTCTGCATATCCTTGACTCTACCTGCACCCCCTCTCAATGTACGATGCATAGAACGTTCCGGGCGTTGGGGGTAAAAGACTTCTCAGCCAACTGAATTCTTTGAGTAATCTCCCTACCTTCTCGGGCTCCTTGCTGATCTGTGGCCGATCGCTCCGGGCATTTGCAGAGGACCCGCGGGCCCGCCAACCAGGTACGTTTCTAAGTGGCTTGCTGGAGGGATTGCTCAGTATCCAGCGTTACCTCTAAGGTTATTTCAGCCACTAGCCCACTAAACTTTGAAGTGGCACAGAATTCGGGAATGGCAAGCTGAGGTATAGAAAGACAAGGAAAAGGAAAGAAAAAGAAAAACTTTTTCTGGTGTGACAGAAACGGGCCTGCCAATCCTGCAAGAACGTACTTTTGTCCATTGCGGCTGGCCTGTTTCTCAAACCGTCATCACTCGTTAATTTCCTCACTTTCAAGCGAGGCCCGGAGGATAGTTGACCTGCGGGAAATCTTCCGCTCACCCAAATTAGTCGGACGCGTCGATCCCTCCAACTGAGTCGCTGAATGCCAGGGGTCCGCTCCATCTGGACGTGCTAAATGCTTTGGCGCTGGATCTAGTCGGAGAGCCGGCTGGTACTAAGGAGTAAATTCAAATTGCCGCGGCAAATCACAGGGGCCCAATCGCTCCAAGTTGACGTCTCTGGGGCACCCTCACCCAGATTGACTAGGTGTCTGACTGTCATTGAACTGAATGGGCACGCGGTGCGTCAAGTGCCCCGAGCTTTCTCCTCTTATGCTCTTATTCAGGCATGACACTGGCTCGCAACTCGGCCCGGCGCTCAGGCCAATTCTTACGCACATGGCTGGCAGTTGTCATCTGTCGTGAAATGTGTGACTGTTACATAAACTTCGTACGGCATAAGTCTGGGTCAGAAGCAATGGGCTCCCTGCTGATAATTCCCGGGGGTTGTATGAAGAGCCACGCCGCAGGCTGAAAGGTGCGGCGTGTGTAAAACATCCGAGTCGTCCATGTCGCGCTCCACGGTTCGTGGTCCAAGGGTACCCCTGTCGGGGACCATTTAACAGCAGATTGCAATAGGGTGGTATATCACCGGACTGGCCTTGGTGCTCCGAATGGTTTGATTTAGTTTCACGGGCCTGGAGGGGACAGCGTCCGCTTTTCTTCTCAATCAGGTAATGGTGAATATGTCTAGTCGAAAGTCGAACATTTGGCTGCACGCTTCCCTGATCTACCGGGAGTGGCTCCCGGGCATATTTCTGGCCCGGTGCGCGTCGGTCCCTACTAGTGTTGCCCCTAGGACCACTTGGTTTCCCATGGTGCTGGGCTTCGAGCTGCGTAGCCCGGTTCCGGTGACGCAAGGTACTTTTGGCTTCTCGATACGTCTTTTTGTTACCTTCCTATCATCAGGGCCGCAAGAGCGCCGGCCCCCACAGTCATCGAGGTTTTCAACCAACCCCATTTGTTCGATGACCTGCCAAATGTGTAGTCCTGCGGTGGCGCCTGTAAACGAGCTGTTTGGGACCCATGTTCGACTGGGCTAGAACAACGGCATTCTTTCCCACGATTGTGATATCACGTACGAATGACCGGGGAGAGTTTAATTGATTTGCCGGAGCTGATGTCTTCGCGCGACTGCCAATTAGTTGTCGAAGTTTGCATGTCGGGAGCTCTCTCAGTGCTTCCGGAAGGTGCCATCAGCATTGGATGCTGTTCATCACCATCTCGGCTAGCGGAAGGTGTCGCCAACCAACATGTACAAGTTGTGCGCTCAGCACTCGGCCTCATGCACACCGCTATTGTTGTCATTAAACCTGGCCACCAAGGGTCCCGAAAACATATCCACTGAGACCGGACAGCTGTCCGGCGGTTCCGCTGTACGACATTTGATAGTCATTGAATGAAATCGAGTGCGAGGCGTCTTTCAGCTGGCTCCTGTCAAGCCAAACTACTGAAACTATAGGCTAGACCTTGTTTCGCCTCTGAACCTGTCAGAACGATGCCAGAACCCGAGTAAGTTCCACCCGAAGGATACAGACATCTCATTGTGGGAAGCACCGGAGCTGAGATGGCGGACAGTCAAGACCATCACGTCACAACAGATTGATCCATGACGAGTGTGCAAGCCAAAAATTGTAATATTCAAGAACCTGTACAAGCTAACAAAACTACATTTAACAAGGTATACTGTAATGTCCGAGAGGTTCTCTTGCATCAGTTCCACTGGCCAAGGCCGCAGGATGTAAATCCAAGAAACTGATGCCTTCATTCCTCGGCCAACCTTGCACAGCACCACTACCGTCACACACCAGATGGCATGAAATGATGATGGGCCGGACAAGATTGGACAAATGATCTCCCAACGCTCCGTTAAGAACATCCTGTGAACTAGGTCCAGAGAAAATCTCCTTACCAACAAGATGCTCTTGCAGTACCCAGAGTGGACTGCATCGCTGGTGTAAAGTTGTGACATGCTTCCTCAATTTCCGTGCCATTGCAGATTGACCGGCCTGAGCGCACCTACGCAGAAAGCAGAAATGAAAAGAAAAGTGACAGCCTTGATCGCAAGGGCTAATAAGACTAGGGTTCCGGGCCCCGTCTTAGATAAATTCGACAGTAGAGCTAGTCTTCATAATCGACGTGTAGCTGGCTGTGATTTGCAGCCGTCGCATGGTCACACCGTATGGTTGAATTTAGCTTCAGTCATGAGTTGTGAGTGAGAAAAGGTATCCTGATGATATCATCACATAAGATGATGCTTGCGACACATAAATCGAAGCAAAGGAAGTCGCCATGCGCTGTACGGAAAGAGGAAGAAGTCATCAAATTTACTCGTCACTGTCTTTAGTCATCATCTTACCGATCTCCGGGCTTGCTATAGTGTTGCCCGGGATACTCGGGAGGGAAGTTGGAAGAGAAGGGAAGGCAAGAAGCGCCAGGACCCTTCGGATGCCGAAGGCTGAGGCCAATTGACAATCCCGAATCAGTCAGTAAGGTGGAACAACGCCGAAACACTTGGACAGATTAGCAATCATCCTGTACCCAAATTCGAAAGGCGACTAACCTTTCACCGTAATGATGGCGCCTGATGCTTTCGGCCAGAAGACTCGAAATATCAATGACAATCAACTTCTTTGACCTCTTCACCACCTGCGGTGGAACAGGGAAGCTATTCGTAACGACGATGTGGTCGATCGACTCACAAGCTTCCATCTGTTCGAGGGACTCCTCCGTGAAAAGGCCGTGGGTGGCAATGCAGTATACCTTCTTGGCACCGCCCTTCTTCACTACAGTTTCTGCTGCGGCAGTCCATGATTTACTCTTGTCAATCATATCATCGACAAGGAACACAGTCCGATCACGGACGTCGCCGACCAATGTGATGGTCTTTTCTTCCTCAACGTGCTTTCCGCTGCTGCCCTCTTCGTCTGAAGATTCGGCAGCATCGAATGAGCCACCTAAAGCATGGTCGCCGGGGAGGGAAGAAGTGTTGGATATGAGAGAGTTCACCATTGAATCTGGGACCGTGTCGGGCTCATCACGGCTGGCACTCTGACCCGGAGTGGTTTCCCCGGAAGCGGGGTGCGAAGTAGGACCGGTTGACGGGTAGTCGTCGTCCACAAGGTGACCTTGCACGAGCCGCCCAGTGATGACCTCACGCACTCGCACATCAGTATACTCATGTGCAGCTTCCAATTCCGAAGGACGACGAGCGCCTGATGGAGTTTCGGGACGCAAGTAATTTGCCGCTACAAGAGACTCCATGTTGGTGTTCGGCTCACCCCTGGAATCTCCGGATTGACTGCACTCACTAGTTCCACTTTGTAGGTGGAGAGTGAAAGGGTCTTGGTCCTTATCCTTGGCGACGGGGGTGCTCTCTTCTTCGATAGAATCGAAAAAGACAGTACTGTCCGTCATACCCAGGGGTACTTTCGGACGTCTCCTATCAGTCGTGACGATGCCAAAGTTGAGTTTGAGTGTGTCTGCTAGCGAAGTGACACGTTTGGTGCCTCCTGCATTCTTGCTGACCACAACAGCCTCGCGCCAACCCGGCACGTTCATACGAATCCAGCGGGCGATGAAGGGCTCGGCGAACAGGTTATCCACGGGTTTTCCGAAGAAGCCCTGCATTTGGGATGCCTAGCGATCACGTTCATAAGAACTCCATCCATGCCACGCAATAAAGCATTTGCGAAACCAGCGCAACAGACAGATCGCCTTGTGACTCACATGCAGATCCAAAGTTATCACATGGTCCACCCCAGCGATCGAGAGAAGGTTGGCCAACATGCGGGCAGTGATGGCACCACGGTGGCTCTTCTTCTTAGACTGGCGGGAGTACGGGAAGTACCTCGTTTGTGTCAGCATCAGACGTGCAGCCATGGAGTCAAGTAAAAGCATACGGCATGACCGCTGGAAGTAAGAAGTATGGGTCAGCCAGGGAACTTGGATTGGCGGGAAAGAGGTCCGCACATACCTGTGATAGATTTTGCGGACCCGCCCTTGCAGGCGGAGATCATGATCAAGAGTTCCATGACACTGTCATTGATCTTGCTGCTGCCGCTCTGGACGATGTAAACATCTTGGTTACGCACCGAAACCCCAATGTTTACACTGGTCTCGCCATTGCTGAACTTCCCAAGGTCGGCACGAGCCGGCTGGGTCCCCAGGCGTTCACAGATGGTTTCAGCCAGGAGGGGGTGGGATGTCCCCGAGAAGATCTGTACTCCCCGCATCTTAGGATTGTGATGAGCTAACAGACATAGACCATTGATCAAGAGGGAATAGAAGACAAGGTAGGCAGCAAGATCATCTCAAGCGCCGAAGGGAGGAAAGCAAGGAGGGAAGAAGGAAAAAGGAAAGGGAAGAGAAGGGAAGCGGAGGGAAATGAAAGAAAAAGAAAATTAGTCCGGAGTTTTCTCGTCGGGAAAAATTTCAAGTGGAGGTTCGAAAACGAAAGCAGTTTGGGTGCCTGTGGCCCCCCGTACTCGAGCTCCCCCACTTACTGCTTTGCTTCCCTGCAAACCGTCGGAGCCCAAGATAAGCTCCCTGTAACCCCGCGGTCAAGTGAGTGAGTTGGCCTGCAGATTATCGAATCATGGCACACAGATTCCCTCCCGTGCAAGGAGGAGGCTCCCTCATAGTCGCCTGGCAGGCGAAAGCGAAACATGTTCTAGTTGTCGGTGGTGGAGAAGTGAGCCTCCCCTTGCCTAGGCCGTTTAGCCTGAACTTATTACGATATATAATTGTTGCTTACCGAGGATTCCGCCTCAGGTGGCTGCAGGTCGCATTCTCCACGCCCTCAATGCCGATGCCAAAGTAACCGTTGTCTGCCCTACCTCCGGCCTCAATGATGAAGTGGCTTTTCGGGTAGCAGAGGGACAAGTTAATCACATTGATAGGAACTTTGAGCCTGCCGATCTGGAAGGCGCAGATATGGTGCTCTGTGCCATTGATGATCCGGACGCCTCGACACAGGTCTGGAAGCTCTGCAAGGAGAAGCGGATCCCGGCAAACATAGCTGATGTGCCGTCGGAATGTGATTTTTACTTTGGTAGCGTCCATCGTGATGGGCCATTGCAGGTCATGGTCAGTACCAATGGAAACGGACCCAAATTGGCCAGCATTGTCCGCAAGAAGATAGCGGACACACTCCCCGATAATATGGGCGCAGCTATAGACAACGTGGGTAAATTGCGGAGGAAGCTGAGGGATATCGCCCCCAATCCTGACCAAGGCCCGAAACGAATGAAATGGTACGCTTGTCCTATTCTCGTCATGCGCTCGGTACGATGACCTCCCCCCACTGATCGATGTTATAGGATGTCTGGAGTTTGCGAGTCATGGAGCTTAGAGGATCTTGTTCAGATGGATGACAGTGACATGGACGGTCTTTTGACCCATTACGCATCCGGGAAAATCCCAACCCTGAATGAAGTTCGGTCCTCTTGACCGGAGCCGCTCAGTAGAGACCCTGTAGCACTTTAAATCTAAATTGGCTTCGTGAGGCCTAGGACAGCTCACTCATGTCCAAGGGCACATCCAAGTTTACTGATAATCGCTCAGTGACTCAGACCTATCTATCATAACGGAAACGCTCCCATGATAAATGCTATTTTGTACATAGAATATAAGCCCTTTGGAACGAACAGCTTTGAAGGGTAATAATTGAAAATGATGCAATGCTGTGCTAGGTCTACATTCAATACTCCTCCAAATTGATAAAAAGCCCTACGGTCCTGTAGGGGAGGATATCCAAGAAAAGCGCAAAACAAATAATAAAAAGAACAACATCAACATAGAACACTCGAGCGCTGGCCTTCTCGCCTAGTGTCCCCCGCTGTGTTTGCGGGAAAACTGACTCGACACAGAGTTCCTGTGACCAGACGGCAGAGATGTTTGGCCGACAGGTATACCTAGTTTCGCCTCACCGATTCGGCGCAGCAAGGATTGGAGCGAAATTCGAATCTCGGTATTCAGGTCACGAGCCAATAGATCAACAGCTAGTGGGTAAAAAGTCCCAATGTGCTTGTCGAAGCCCTCAGAAGGAAAGTTGGTGTAGCCCTCGAGCACGTCCACAACAACTGGACGCCAGGCGACTACATTACGATGCTGGGAGTCTTCGTCAAGACGGACGAAGCTGCGAATTATATCCGCACAGAGTCTGGTGCAAAGATGGCCGGTTAGCAAAAACGCCTAGATCAAATCATATAGACAAATATCGATTGCAACACTTACGGAATCAAAGCCGCTTCCGTTTCAGCACGGCTGCTTCTCCGCTCCTCTCTTTCATCGTGATACATTCGGAAGAGGATGTGAACATAGGTGGCGGCACTTCCACTCTCCTGTTTGAGGAGGTTGGGAGGTTGCTTCATGAATCCTTGACGCCAAAGCTGCATCCGCAATTCCTTGTCCTCGTTAAACTTCTTCGCGAACTGATAACTCTTCTTCAGCAAGCCCATCAGGCGAAGAAGCTCGTGACTGGGAATCTGTGCGTAGACTTTATCATTCGAGAAAAGTTCGTGGACAGTCTCGATCATGAGCAACTGGAGCACACAGTTGGTTATGATACGATTAAAGAACCGGCGGCGAGCCACGGTCACAGCGGCCGGCTGTTGCTGGGCGTCTGCCTGAGGTCTGTAATCCTCCAATGCAGGAGTTGAGGCCGCAGGCATGTCACCCTCCTCGTGTTCAGAGGTCACATTTTGCGTTCCATTGGCTTTTTGCGCTTCAGCAACCTGTTCCTGATCGGACGCGGTTTCGGAAGACTCTTGTCCGGACTCTTCATTTGAGGCCGAGTCTCCATTCGCAGGTTTCAGCGAGCCAGGTGATTTTGAAGAAATGGACGCTGCAGCAGTGAACAATTCATAAGCCGTAGTCTTGCTGAATAGCTCGACAAAAGCGCCAACGACCTTCTTCCAGTGTTCCAGCTGGAACTTGGTAACATTCTGCAAGATCAGCTGCTGCAGACAGTTGCTACCGATCCGTGCAATCGTATCATTCTCCTGGCAGATGCACAGAGTGAGGAGCTCCAGAATGCGATCGAGCATATACTCCAGTGCGTCGAAGTAATGGGTGAACAGGGTAATCATATTCCGCAGTGCCTGGATCATGGTGGTTGACAGCCACACAGAAAGCTCTTCATGATTGGGCACCTTAGACATTTCCGATTTGGACTGTAGCACCACAAAGATAGGATAGAGGAGCTGCCTCCAAAGCACATCCCAGAATTCTTGCGGGAATTCACCGCCATGACGAATCAATGTCTCGAAGAGATACGTCAACGCTTGTGACCGGACTTCAAGGTCGTCACCGGTCATCAGCACGTCTTGGAAGGCGATCAAGATCGGGTACCAAAACTGCTCCTCCTTGGACTGACGGGTGAGTTGCTGAGAAAGGTTGGTGGCATCTTCATGGAAGCCCTCAGGTGACGCACCGCGATGAGACAGCGGGCACTCTGGCGTCCTCAGCATTTTCGTAACAGTAGACTTCAAGGTCTCGATTGCCTGTAGCGACTTCTTCTGGAACTTTGAATTCTTGGAGAATTCAGTGAGGCAGACAATAAGGTCAGGGAAGGCACCCTGTGTTATAACAACTCCAAAGCGGGTGTTGTAAATCTGGGTGACATGCTCAAAAGCCATATTGACAATGCCTTCATATGGCTCGCGAGCAGCAACCGTAAAGACGCCAAACATAGTTTTCCAACCTGAGCGGATATTGTCACCACGCGCCTGAATCATCTGGATGAGACAACGAAGAATCATGTCTTTGACAGTGACAACGTTGCTATTCGCCATAACATGCTCGAACGGCTTGAGGAAGTCTTTCTGGAACTTGAAACCCGGCAGCTCCTCAATCTCCATAAAGCGCATCGAAAGTTGGCGAAGCGAATCAAGAGCGAAGAAGACCACAGTGGTATTCGAATGGCAACCCACATGATTGAAGTGCTGCCCGAGGACCTCCCAAATCTTTGACCATTCTATTCTGACTCTTGTCATGTTGTAGTAACTGATTTCAACCAATTTCTGCAGGCTGTATGTTCGAGGGGATTCAGTTTGTCCAGACGATTGGATCTCTTGCCAGCTGACCTCGCTTAGGGCCTTAATGAAATCAATAATGGCCTCGTGAGAGAGATTGGCCGTATTGGTGAAGATCCGGTCCACTCCCCTTATCATTTCCGCAGATCGACTTTCCATTGCAACCTCAGTACGGAAAGCTGTAGGTCCATTGATTGATCGAGGGCGAGGCCGCCTTGACGCTTGCATTGACTTCCGAGATCCGTCCGTGGGAGGTTGAGTCACGATGCGAGCTCGGGAGACATCAGGTAGGGAACCTTCATCGACACCATCGGTGAGGAGTTGAAGACGGTCGAGTTGACTGACGCACGTGAGAATATCTCTCCAAGAGCCCTTAAGATGGTTTCCTTCCGTGAGAGCGACGTCAAGCAAGGCTTTCAACGCCTCCACGTTCTTTGCTACCATCTCCCTGACGTTGCCCAGGTTGGTAAATTTGGCCAAGGCCGTCACGAACGCGACACGTGGGGTTTCAAGTTCGAACGCGCAACTGATACGTATAGCCAGCTTCATACCTCCCATGCAAAGCCGGATAATTTCGAGGTACTGGGTATCCTGCATCGGAGCAGACAAGCCAGAAAGGAAAGACATCCAGGTGACATTGAACATGGAACCCACATGTTGGACAGAGGTTGCCGGGATGAAGCGTGAGAGAGCTTCCTTGACAGCTGTCTTCCGCTGCGCTCGTATCAGACTACGATAAAGCTGCTCGGTCTTGTTTGCCATTTCCTCAGAGGCCTGCGCATACTTTTCACCTTGAACATCGCGCCCCACGGTTGCAAAAACTTGTCCAGCCCGAGACGCGAGGCCGCCGCTGGGTGCAGACGTCGGAATGCCAAGATTGGCAGCATGTTCTCTCTCAGTATCCAAGACAATCTCGTTTTTTGCAATTTCATCGTAGATGGAACCGAGATAGTCATCAGGCAGATCCTGGTTATCGTTGATACCGCGGTTGTTCTTGATAAAATCTTCCTTCGTCATGCGGCGCCCCTTGATCTTGGCACTATGCTGATCTGTGTTGAGCATGATGACGGAGTAAGCAAGAACGTACGCCGTATCCGCGTTTGCGAATGCGTTCGGATTCTGGGTTACGTAGCGCTCCGCAAACTTGAGCATGAAACGATCGATCTTCTGTGCTTCTCCAGGCAAGCGGAAGTGCTGTAGGAACTGACGCAGAGCATCGACGAAGCGCCGCTTTGAGAATTCCATCATATCAACGAAAGCATGCATGATGGCGATATTCTCGGCCTCTCCTTCACCGAGATACTCACCCAGCATGGCTTTGTCCAACCGATCATTCCGGAACAAGAATGCGGCAATGTCCTCGGGCGAGCTGGAACGTACAAAGCCGTCTTTGATAAAAAGCTTGACTCCCCGCTTGGGCTTGAAGTTGAACTGTTGAATGGCGTTGGTGAAGGCAATCTTTCTTTGCTTGACCTTCTCAATTTGGCTCGGGTCGTCCTCCGCCACAGGTGTGGTACTGCCGTCAGTGCTTTCGATCCTCGGAGATGAAAGATAGGTAGGGGCAGTTGTTTCCATTGAGTCCCTAGGATTGTCAATTGACTTCTGAGAGGATGAGTTGAGAACCGGCGCCGCTTGATCGACCAGACGCTGCGAGGCCCAGTTGTCTAGTGACTGCAGAATTTCCACCAGGCACTCGACCGCCTGATTCTTCAGTATATAATCAGGGGGCACATGCTGTAGGTTTGGCTGATGACCACTGGCTACGCTAGCAGTGGTAAGGTTGGGTGGCAAGGTTCCCCGTTGATGCCAGTCACTACCAATAGTTGAGACCTTGACATGGTGCTCCTGGTACTGTTGTTGCTGGAAAGCGGTGACAGTGACTGGTATACTTGCATATCGTGACAACTGCTCAATAACACTAGAAGACAGTCAGAAGTTGTACGAGAGGAGTCTAGAACTATGACATACTTTTGGAAGATGTTCTCCAACGCAGTTCTGTCGCAGTCATAGTTGAGATACATTTCCACCAAGGCGCGCGGATCACCTGCCAATCGCTCCAAAATTTCCATGAAGTACTGCTTCTGGAAAAGGGGAGAATTGCGCTTTTCGAGAATAGTCAAGTATATCTCTTTTAGGAAAACCTCGAGTTCTTTCTGCTGATTATTAGATCGATTGGCGCGAAAAAGTCAATGAAGCATACTAACCTTCATCATCACTCTCATATCCTTCAGCATTAGCCAGAAAATCTCACAGCAAACTTCGAACACCCTGGGCACCGAGCTGGACCCATTCCGACTCAAACTTAAGCACAAATGAGGCCGGACAGCTTGTAGTAGTGTCATCGCGTCCGGGCTGTTGGAGCTATTTCTGATGGTCAAGAGGGGAGATGTAAAGGTCACGACGTGATTGTTCATGAGGTAATGGATAAGGTGCAACGACAGCAATTTTGATCTCATATTCTGAGACTTGAGGTCTTGTTGTTGATCATGGCTCAGTATTTTATGGCTCAGCTTGCAGAGTGCCCTAAAAACCAAGAAAGCGTCCTTGACATAAATTTCGTCCTCATCATCATCAGTAGTGCCGTCAATGTCCTCTGCTGAGGCTGCAGACATTGACCGAGCAGATCTCTGATTGCCTCTGGCACGAGTAACCATTGTGGGAGCATTGTCGTTGACCGAGGTCACATCCTTGTTCGACTCAAAACTTTGCAACGTCAATTTCTCCACGGGCTCCTTCGTGACAGGCTGGTCGGAGGCTACGGCGGAAGGGGCATCTGAATCGTGATCCTCTTCCGTTGCCTGTGGTGTCTCGGCTGTGTCTAGAGTCACAGTATCCGAAGAGCTCGTCTGTCCTTTCTCGCCGTCGCGCAAACGTAGCTCTTTCAGGTCCAATCGCACCTGGACCCTATCAAAAACAGTGCTGACCATCTGTGTCAAGGACCCTTGGGCGATTTGCTGATTCTGAGATGATTTGGAGTAAATGAAGATGTTGTAAATCTGGCGGACAGCCTTTAGGAGACCTGCTCCATGCACGACGATCTTGTCGTTCAAAACTGCCGCAAGGAGTGACTTTATGATTTGTTGTTGAATCTCAACGGGTGTGGCTTCGTTCTCAAAACAGTCGCAGATCGCATCAATCGCTCGCTCAATCAGGGGTGGCTGTTCAGGGTTGGCCTCCGATTCTGACGTCTTCCCATCGTGAGATGAAGGGAAGGCGAAGTATGAGTAGGTTATCAATTTTCCGATGCAGTCAAGGGCCGTGACCTGCAGAGGAATACTAAAGGTTTTGGTGGCCAGCTGTAGAGGGCGGAATATAAGCTCAGGGTCAATGGGCTGACCATCCGACTGTTTGACGTTTGCGAGGGCGTTCTTCACAGCATCCTCCAGTTCTTTGCTCCTCCGCGCTTCCTTGGAAGCACCGATTGTATCCAACGCCGTCACAATAAAGACGGTAGAGCTGACCGTAACCGAGCGATGCGTTGCAAATGTGGCCGTTGTCGATCTTGAATCGGAGCGCATGCGTGAATCGGAGGGAAGCTCATCTTGATGGGGTATGGAGGCGACATCTTGCTTGTCAGCCGAAGATTCCTCTTCAACGTTGACGGCCGGAACTGCCGGTGATGTATCCGCAGATTGGTCCTGTGTATCGGGCTTCGAGGTCGACTCAGGCTCGGTATCAGCCTTGGATTCTGATGATGCGACGGCTCCCTCCGGAGAGCTTGCGGCTTGATCCGGCGACTCTGCATTTTCAGTAGTTCCCGATTGTTCTAGTGGTGAATGTGCCTGCTCTGATTCCTGAACATCAATTCCTTGAGGGTCCGACGCCTCTGGTAGTTCGGGTTCATCTCCGTCGACAGGTGGTTCCGTATGCGCTAGGACATCGCCGGCATCCTCCTCCTTGTTGTCTACCGGCGGCAGGGTTGTAGATGTTTGGGTTGGTGGCTCGTTCACAGAGCCATTCTCGACTTCCGCCATTTATGCAAGACTCCGTCCGGAGTGTTGGAAATTAGGCAGACGAGGGGTCCACATGGGACTGAAAAGCGACTAAAGGGGTATATGCAGGTCTGAGAGAAAGGGCCCTCTAGCCTCCTGGACGCTGGGGAACTGATGCGTGTTCACTCCGCGGACGGGGAGAATGTACGGCTGCCGCTAGGGGCCACACCCGCTGCGCTGACATAATCAGGCCACGGCGGCGCCCGGCGAGTCTATTCCGAACGCTCACCGGGAAGCTCAACAGAAAAGTTCCTGGAGCTGCAGTTCTCAACTCCTCTGATACGGGCCCTTTCATTCCGCCAGATACGTCTCCGGCTCCCCCTTTCATCCCATTTAATCCCCTCATTCCCGTCTCGGGTCTTTTTCTCTATCACACATAGCATTTGGGCGCCATGGTTGCTTCTGCTGTCCGGATGCGCGCTCCCAGCGCCATGTTCCTCTCCAAAGGCGCTCTCTCCCTGAAGCGGCCGCAAACTGTTCACAGATTCAAGGATATCGCTCAGTATGTCGCGCCCTCTCTATGAAGACTACCTGCCTGTCTGTGAAGCATGCTAATCATACTCGTGTGTCATCTTAGATCTCAATTGCCTTCCCTTTCCGCCCTCTCCCGTTTTTATGCCTCCAAGTGTATGCCGTTATCCTTGACGCCTTTGATTTGTGGATGATCGGATTCTGACATATTGGATCTGCAGCCTTCCCTCCCCACACTGTCATCAGCATGCCGGCCTTGTCGCCGACCATGTCCGCCGGAAACATTGGAGCTTGGCAGAAGAAGGCCGGTGATGCCCTGCAGCCCGGTGATGTCCTGGTAGAGATTGAGACCGATAAGGCCCAGATGGACTTTGAGTTCCAGGAAGAGGGTGTTCTGGCCAAGGTTCTCAAGGAGACTGGCGAGAAGGATGTTTCTGTCGGCTCCGTATGTGATAATTCCTCTGTTCTGATGTTGGCCCCCACAAGATCCTTTGCTGACCGCTATTGCATTAGCCTATCGCTGTCTTGGTTGAGGAAGGTGTCGATGTTGCTGCTTTCGAGGCTTTCACCCTGGCGGATGCTGGTGGTGAGAAGGCTGCTCCTGCCGCTGAGGAGAGCAAGCAGGAGTCCAAGGCCGCTGATGCTGCCCCTGCTTCTGAGCCTGCCCCTGCTGCCGTTGAGCCTGAGACTTCGGGCGAGAAACTCCAGCCCAGTCTGGACCGTGAGCCTTCCATCAGCCCTGCTGCCAAGGCCCTGGCTCTGGAGAAGGGTGTGCCCATCAAGGCTCTCAAGGGTACCGGACGTGGCGGTCAAATCACCAAGGAGGACGTTGAGAAGTACAAGCCCAGTGCTTCTGCCGGTCCTACCTACGAGGACGTTCCCTTGACCTCCATGCGCAAGACCATTGCTAGCCGCCTCCAGCAGTCCGTGCGCGAGAACCCTCACTTCTACGTCTCCACGACCCTGTCTGTGAGCAAGCTCCTCAAGCTTCGCCAGGCCCTCAATGCTTCCTCCGAGGGCAAGTACAAGCTTTCCGTCAACGACTTCCTCGTCAAGGCCTGCGCCGCCGCCCTCATGAAGGTCCCCACCGTCAACTCCAGCTGGCATGAGGAGAACGGCCAGACCGTCATCCGTCAGCACAAGACCGTCGACGTCAGTGTTGCCGTCTCTACCCCCAACGGTCTCATCACCCCCATCGTCAAGAGCGTTGAGGGCCGTGGTCTGTCCAGCATCTCCAACCAGATCAAGGACTTGGGCAAGCGCGCCCGCGACAACAAGCTCAAGCCCGAGGAGTACCAGGGTGGCACTTTCACCATCAGCAACATGGGTATGAACCCTGCTGTTGAGCGCTTCGCCGCCGTCATCAACCCCCCTCAGGCCGGTATCCTGGCCGTTGGTACCATCCGCAAGGTTGCCGTTCCCGTCGAGACTGAGGAGGGCACCTCCGTTGAGTGGGATGACCAGATCATCGTCACTGGCAGCTTCGACCACCGTGTCGTCGATGGTGTTGTCGGTGCCGAGTGGATCAAGGAGCTGAAGAAGGTTGTTGAGAACCCCCTCGAGCTTCTTTTGTAAGCTCTTCCCTACACTGTGAGACCCCGACCGGCGCAGTATACTAGCTATCTACGATCGGAGTTTCTTTTGGCCTTGTTGTAATATGTATTAAAATCATTGAATGTTTCCTCCTTTCACGACCGCCACGGTCTGTCCAGTACAGCCTAGATATTCTCAATGCATTTCCTATGTTCCGTACTTTCATGATGGTTGGCCCTGCAGGATGTTCTGGACTATGTTATTGGCCGCATACGTTGTACCTGATGCTTGAACCAGCCCATTTCGATAGATGCAACAACCTGTCTAGATGTATGCCTTGCAGAGCAGTAATTGGGTAGATCGATCAGGAACAACCTAAAGCGTTGCGTAGCCGCCAGTGCGTTGCGTCGGCACGAGAGTCTTGGCGGTGCTCATAGCATGGGCCAACCTTCGCCAGGGAATCTATGACGTGATGTCATTCCTCCCGGACGGTTCTCGTGTCCATAAATACTCGAGGTTCGCATCCCCTGAAACCTACCTCGATACTTTCCCGTGCGTCACCCTATTACAGCTTATTTCATCGTCACTTTGCATCTCTAAAATCTATCTGTACGTTTGTTTGGTCCCTGGGTAGTTGCTAAGTCCTCTTGGTCTTGGCATACCTCCAACTTAGATGCGCCTACTGATGACGTCCTAGATCACTTGTTCCTCTCAAGTCACACGAATCACTTATTCATCATGTCTTACGCAGAAGCCGCTGCCAAAGGTCCCAAGCAATCTGCAGAGGAGGTATGTCTTCAGTCACTCCCCCGCCTAGCGTCCAGTGCTTGTACTATACCACTCTAGATGCAGATCCGCTAACACTATGGACAGGCGTAAGTCAACACTAAAACAGAACAAACAAACCCTTTCATGCAGCTAACAATTGTGTAGCCGGGCCCCCAGCGTTGGCGGAGTGTACCGCGATGAAGCTGAGAGCACCGCTTCCCTGGTCGACGTCGATTCGCCACATGTCCAAGCCGTGGATCCCGATTTCCTGAAGCAGAACGTGCAAACCACCACCCAGGCTGAGCGGATAGAGCGAGAAGAAGAGGAGCGGGAAGCCTACGAAGAACGGAAGGCGAAGAGCAAGGCTAAGGCTAAAGCCAAGGCGAAGGCTAGTTCGGTCCGCAGCAACGCGCACAACCCTGTCTACCTCGGAAATGCTGTGCTTCTGGCCTTGACTGGCGCTGGTCTGGGGTATGGAGCATACCGGAAGCATGCTGCTGGGCAGCTTTCGTGGGAGTTGATTGGATGGTGCTCTGGCGCCGTTGGTGCCTTTGGTGCTGTGGACTACTTTGTTAGCAAGTGAGTATCGGTCTTAGAAGCTCGTGTGCGGTGATAGTGTTTGCTAATGTGGGGACGTTCTTTAGATGGCTTTTGCAGAACAAGTACCCTCCGAAATAAGGCCTGAAGTTGAGACCGAGCACTTTGTGGCAGTCGTGATATCCCAGTGTCAGTTTCGCGGTCTATTATTTCTTTACTGTTTTTTTGTACTCCTTTAGGGTACATGAGGCGTTTGCGCAGCTTTTGGGCGTCATAGTGTGTCTGGTACTAGTATATCCCTAATGGATCGATCTCCTCTAAGCACAGCAGCCGTCGTAGCAACGAGCGCTATACTTTACAATTATCTCCCAAGGCCAAAAGCATGGTAATGCATGGGTAGACAGCAGCAGAAGAAAAAGAAAAACTGAATGACGTAGATAGAAGAGTCGAGAGCTTTTAGTCACTTTCTAGCTTCCTGCATAGACTTACTTTTGTTCGGACCGAGCTGAAGCGGGTCAGGCCGCACGAATGACTGCAGTGGCAGGGGCGGTCAGCGCCGTCAGAATCGTGGCCTCTGCAAGAACATGTGGCCTTGGCTAGCATCATTATAAGCCTGATATAGAAGGTCTCTCCTGACACGTCGCTATTTCTTGGTACCGACTACTACACATTTCAGAGACAAACTTAAGATTTTCTTTTTCTTCTTGGAAAGATATTAGTACCTGTAAATCCAAGCTCACCTCTGTTTTTGCGGCCGGGATTGTATACAGCGCACTCACCCGATAGGGTACACCGCAACAAAATGGTAAGTCGTCTAAGGCCTCAAAAGTGAAGCCTCGCTTTGAGGGGGTTGATTGCCATGCCTGATGGGTGCTTACATTGTCTATTGCTTAGAATTCCCTCTTCAATTCCGCCCTCAAGCAGTCATCTGCTATCCGCCGTGACCTGGATACCTTTTCCCAATCTCCAGCTACCTCATCTGCCGCACTACAAGGTAGGTTTCGAAACCGGTGCTTGTAGTGGCTCCACTACGCAACAGAAGGAAGCTCATGCGCATTGTAGGCCAAATCGCTGCATCGCTAGCATCGTTATCGCGCACCGTTGACGACTACTCTGCCCTGTCCAAGAAGGAATTGATTCCGGAGAAGCAAGAGAAGGCATTCGAACGAGTCAAGAATTTCCGATCAGAACTGGCAGATTACCGGCAACACTTTGATCGACTACGGAAAGAACGAGAGGAAGCTGTAAGAATTTGCACTCAAATCTTCAAGCAGCGTTGAGACTCGATATGGCTGACCATGGTTTATCTATAGCAATCCGTCACCAACCGCAATGAGCTCCTCGGTCGACGTCCCCATCACACAGCTACACCAGAGAACCCATATGCTCAATCATCCCTCCCCCAGTCCTCTGCGTTCGGCCCTTCTTCGTCACGATCGGGGCTCAGCTTTGGAGCCTCGCCAGCCGACTACAACCGGGAAACACATGCGCTTCGCGAACAAAGCTTCCTAGCGAGCACCAACACCCAGATTGATGAGTTTCTTGATCGGGGTCGTGCTGTGCTTGCGGATCTGGGACAGCAGCGTGAAGTACTGAAGGGCACACAACGTCGACTCTACAGCGTTGCAAACACACTGGGCGTCAGCGGCGACACAATCCGCAAGGTTGAGCGCCGCGCAAGACAAGACAAGTGGATCTTCTGGGGTGGTGTAGTCCTATTCTTCCTGTTCTGCTGGGCTGTCCTGCACTTCTTGCGATAGTTGTGGTACATATTCCTTTTCCTCTCCTTTATATTGTTTTTTTGCTTTTACCTGTTCCCTTTCTGGGACTATTGTGTTTTGGTGCTTGGGTTGTCTTACAAGCGCAGGCGTTTGGAGCGCATTGGCAGGGGGGCTTATTGCGCATTATTGTATGTACTTAAGTGTGGATGTGGTGATGGCTAGTAGTCTATATGTAGTCCCTGCAGCAGGACTGATTAGCTTCGCTGTCCCCGTGCGCAATGGGATTTGGGTTGAGTGTGGAGTACACCGAAGTAGTGTGCCGTAGACAGGGAGACGGACGGGTAGATGGAACGTTGGGGGGGGGGGGGGAAGTGGCCATCGGTTAATTTAGGACCATGGAGCAGATCCCATAGCAACGTGGTAATGAAAGCAATTGTCTCGAGAAGTTTAAATCCATTCCCAATGGACCATAAGGACCATGATTGGCATCGGAGAACCGTCGACGACCAGCATGAGGGTCGGTAGGACGGAACCGGAGCAAGTCGCAGGGCCAGTGGACAGACAAGCACGACAAAGTGATCCGATGGCTGCCGTGGGGATCGGAAACGGAGCCATTTAGCCGCCCCAAAATCCTTCGCGCTCACCGGCCACCGACGGCTTCTCCCTTCTTCTCCTTCTTCTCTCTCTCTCTCTCTTTCCTCTCCATCGCAATTGTTTCTCTTCTCTCCTCTCCATCTCCCCATTTCTTCTTTCAGATAGATCTACCTCTGTCTACCCTCACAGTCAAGATGTTCGCTGCTCGTCAGTCCCTCAACCTCCTCCAGAAGCGTAGCTTCTCCGCTTCTGCTAGCCAGGTGTGTAGTCCCCCCAAAAAACATTGCCTCGGAGCTCTTCGTTGCCTTGCTAACCATCGCAATTTCCATCTCAGGCCTCCAAGGTTGCCGTTCTCGGTGCCGCCGGTGGCATTGGCCAGCCTCTGTCCCTGCTCATGAAGCAGAACCCCCTTGTCACTGACCTCGCCCTCTACGACATCCGCGGTGGACCTGGTACGTCGCACAACATCTCCCTTCCCCCGACCTGAAACACCCATCCGATCATCGGAGTCGACTAACAGAAGCTTCAAACAGGTGTCGCTGCTGATATCAGCCACATCAACACCAACAGCACCGTCAAGGGCTACGAGCCTACTCCCTCTGGCCTCCGCGATGCCCTCAAGGGCTCCGAGATCATCCTCATCCCTGCCGGTGTTCCCCGCAAGCCCGGCATGACCCGTGATGGTATGCGCTGGACCACTTCAAACCTAGAAAAGTCATGAGCGTCAGACTAATCGCGCCATTGATAGACCTCTTCAACACCAACGCCTCCATCGTCCGCGACCTCGCCAAGGCCGCCGCTGAGGCTGCTCCCGAGGCTAACATCCTCGTCATCTCCAACCCCGTACGTATTGACCTTGTTAAACAATCCCATTCATCGAACCTTGTACTCATTTTAACATCAGGTCAACTCCACCGTCCCCATCGTCTCCGAGGTCTACAAGTCCAAGGGTGTCTACAACCCCAAGCGCCTCTTCGGTGTCACCACCCTGGACGTTGTCCGTGCCTCCCGCTTCATCTCCCAGGTCAAGGGCACCAACCCCGCCAACGAGGCCGTCACCGTCATCGGTGGCCACTCCGGTGTGACCATCGTTCCCCTCCTCTCCCAGTCCAACCACCCCGACATCTCTGGCACCGTCCGTGACGAGCTGGTCAACCGCATCCAGTTCGGTGGTGACGAGGTCGTCAAGGCCAAGGACGGTGCTGGTTCCGCCACCCTCTCCATGGCCATGGCCGGTGCTCGCTTCGCCGACTCCCTCCTCAGGGCCGCCAACGGCGAGAAGGGCATCGTCGAGCCCACCTTCGTTGAGAGCCCTCTCTTCAAGGACCAGGGTGTTAACTTCTTCGCCTCCAAGGTCGAGCTCGGCCCCAACGGTGTTGAGAAGATCCACGAGGTTGGCCCCGTCAACGAGTACGAGCAGGGTCTCATCCAGACCGCCCTCGGTGACCTCAAGAAGAACATCCAGAAGGGTGTTGACTTCGTCAAGCAGAACCCTTAAATGGTTTCTGAATCTGATTGAAGAAGGGAACAAAATTGCAACATCTCTCTGCAGCCGCTTTCCTCCCTGTATAACAGTCTTATGTTAATCCATACCCACTTCCCGTTCCCCTATGCACATCCCCATCTCACATTTGGCTTTTATATCGGAGGAAATGTAGCTGCGGAACTCGCATAGCAATGAGTTTTGAGGAGCCTGGGACTGCCAGGGGAGATGGACATGACGTGTATTTCCTATAAATAAGAAAAATCTAATGATTCAATGACTAGTGTATTTGTAGCCTTTCATCGGTAATTGTAGGAAGGACTTGCAAGCTGACCATCTATCACTCATCCTCCACCCCAACCGAAGCAAAGCTTAACCCCTTGAGCAACTCTCATCACCCCGATATTACCAGGGCAAGTTTCAATCACCACTACTAGTAGTATTAGTATATATGTGTAACATATCTCCAGAAAAAAAAAAAAAAAAAAAAAAAAAAAAAAAAAAAAAAAAAAAAAAAAAAAAAAAACAATCCCTCCCATTCATTCCCACTCAAATTAGCTAGCAACTGGAGAATCCCAGACATGCACTCTACACTCATAGTCAATAGTATTACTACTAATCACCTAGAGAAGTAACCATCTAAGGAACTTACTAACCTGATGACTGAACATGCAGTATACCTGCTGTCTTTTTACTTTCTGACTTCATTTATTCAGTATTGAATATTTTTCATTATTCCTAGGTATATTACGTATGAACAAACCACGAGAGATGCTTGGTTTTAGATCACGTTATACTTCAGCACTATGTCTTGATGCTGAAGTACTGCTAAGTGAGACTGTTTCATCTATATTATGGGGCTGAGTGGATGTAGTAGTAGTAGCAGTAGCAGTAGCAGTAGCAGTAGCAGTAGCAGCAGCAATAGTGGGAGATGCAATGTGTACATACTCTAATTCTGGGTCTTTCTTTGGTTACGATGACTGTTTGGTAGATTACTGGATCTGGAGGTATTACACCTGTGGGCTGGCAGGTATTGTATGGTGGATAATGCATAGTATACAGCCTTGAGCGTTTCGTCTTGAAATGTCTACTAGTATAGTACGGCAAGAAAGGATGGTAAGAAAAGTAAGTAAGAGTGGGGTATTTCGTTTCTCGTTGTATTCCAGAATGTTAACTAGGTATACTGGTTATTTTGTCATCATCCTTATCATCATCATCATCATGGGGGTCGTCGACTGTGGCAAGTGTAGGAGTCAAATAAATTAACATCAACAGGAATAAAACAACGCATCAGAGGCAGATCTTTGGCAGGGAGGCGGTAGAAGAACAAGGACCATGCTGCATACTGAGGGGTGATTCAGTCAAATTGCGAACAGAAAAGACATGAAATGGAAGGTAGATCATAGTCTTCGCTCGAAAGAATACAGCGAATTGATAAAGCAAACCAGAAGGTAAAGGATTACGTATAACTTCTCATGGCATCGAGGTATCCTGACCCACCGCGAAGGTCGCGGTCGAAGGTTTCAGCGACCTCCAGGACACGTCGGATGTGTTCCATGGACAGAGGGGTTTGCTCGTTAACAGCCAATGCTTGGGCTGTGCGGACGGAGTTTTTGATCTATAGACGGATGGGTTAGGATCCATACGTGTTGTTCGCGGAGGCTAGATGGGGATTCTCACCTGACGCCCGTTGAGATTATGCCGAGCCAATAAATCAAAATCCTTTTCATTGAAAGTGGCGGTCTGCACGCCCTCTTTGGCCTGCACTCGCTCCAGAAACATCTTCCAGACGCTGCGCTTTGCTTTCGTGGTGAGTTCACCGTAGCGCAAAGCGACGTGAATGCGGGATTGGAAGGCGTCATCAAATGTTTCGACGCGGTTGGTGGTCAGGAAGAGAATGCCTTGGAAGTATTCCAACAACCGCAGGAAGATGCTGACCAGAGCGTTGCGGTGAATGTCCTGGATGGTGCGCTTCTCCAGGAAGATATCAGCCTCATCGAGCAGTAGAACAGCGCCCCAGGAATGTGCGATGTCAAGGATCTTGTTGAGCTCTGCTTCGAGGGTGCGCGGATCGGTGCCCAGCTCGCCGGCGCTCACCATGTAGAGCGGGCGTTTGAGGAGCTCTGCGATGCCTTCGGCAGTCAGAGTTTTACCAGTACCGGGAGGTCCGTGGAGCACGGCCACGAGGCCCTTGCCCTTGCCTTGGATGACATCGTCGATGTTCTGGGCCGCGCGGAAGGTGTGCGATTCGACCAATGCCTTGACAATGGACTTCTGGTTGTCGGGGAGGACCAGCGAGTCAAAGGCATCTTCGTTCCATTCAATGTCACTGATGCCCGAGATGCTGAATTCGAGCCACAGCTTCTCACTGAAGGCGAAGCCGAGTACCACCGGGCTTGCGATGAGCAGCTCCTCTTCAGTGAATTCGCGGTCGGAGGGGTCTGCAACTTCGTCCATGTTCTCTTTGACAATTTCATTGCCGTTCTCATCCAGCTCGACCTCGACGACGTGCGGCTTGCCCTCCTTGTCCCGTACCACCTTGAATAGGAGCTGAGGGGTGTCTGAGTCGCGCGGGTGCCCAGAGGTTGGATCCGATTCTGAGTCCGACAGAACACAGCAGCACCCATTGTTGCTTCCCTCATCGTCGGAGCCGTCAAGGTAGTCCGGGTCCTTGGGACGGACCGTGCTAATGGGGTAGTTGGGATTGATGCGCCGGTGGATGGCGGGATCAACCATAACCCGGCCGTTGATGTTGACCTTGATGACGGACCGCTTCTTTTTGTAGAAGGCCATACCCTTGTGGTACCGGTAGTTCATGCCTCGCAGCGCCACAAACTTCTTGCCCCGCTCGATGAGCTTGGCCTTGACACTATCGGCTTCGCGATGATACTTGAGCGGATAGCAACTGAGACTGGTGATTTTGCGGGCACCTTTGAAGGACTCCACCTCGGCGGCCATGGTGCCCATGCCAAAGGCCTTGCCATCGTATTCGAGATAGCGACCCTCGATGCTGTACCATTGACCCTTCATGAACGAGGACTCTTTGGTTGCGTACTCGATCTTGAAGGCGCGAGGCTCATCCTGGTTGCCGTAGGTGGAGGAGTAGGCGACGGTGTTGGGCTTGAAGATGGCCCAGAGCAGATCGAAGGTGATCATACTGGCGTCCAACAGAGGGTAGAGGGTTTTCTTGGTCTCAGCATAGTCGGTGTCCAGATACTTGACGAGCACCTTGAGATGCGATGCTTTGACCTCGGCGAGCTTGCGAGCTTTCTTCTTCTTCTCGGTCTTGGCCAGCTGCCGGAGCTCTTTCATGTATTGCCGCGTCTCCTCAAGGTAGAGGAAGAGCATGTTGGGATCGACAACTGCTGTCTCCTGCACCAAGCTGACACCCTTGACTCCATCCATGACCTTGGACAGCGCATCGCGCAGGTACTTGCTCTTCAGGTCTACCACCGTCTCCAGGTACTTATTGTCCCAGTCGAACTTGCGGCGCACGGTGAAGAGGTATTGGTCCCACTCATTTGCGTCGGGGTCGTCGACCGTCTCCGTCAGCTTGAAGTTGTGGATCGTATTGTCCCATACTGCAAGTTTCGTGTCAGTGAAATCCATGAGAGAGTGGTGATGAGAGTAGGGAAGACGCACGCTGATCTACACGTTTGAAGGCAATCTTCGAGGCAGCCTTCTTGCGTCCCTTGGACTTTTGCGAGCTCCCTTTCTGGCCGTCGGTGTTACCATCGCCCGAGCCACGCCTGCCGCGGCCTTTGCGACGCCCATCGGCCAACTTGACTCGCAAGGAAGCCAACTTCTGCTTGGCTAGCAGCAGAGCTAGCTCGTCGGCGTCTGCATCCTCGTCGGCATCGTCATCATCGTCCTGTTGCTCCTCGGAAGAGTCTTCCTTGGAGCGCGACTTCTTGGAGTTCTTCTTCGCCTTCAGCTTGGCGACCAGCTTCTTCAGTGTCTTTTCATCAAGAGACGAATCGGAGTCGCTACTATCCTCGAGATCGGAATCGGATTCCGATTCCGTCTGGTGCGACCGGCTCTTCTTCTTACGACTGACACTTTTGAGCGATTTCTTGACCTTGTTTTTGGCCCGGCGGCGACGTTGTTTGCGATCCGACTCGGAGTCCTCGTCCTCGTCCGATTGAGCGTCTTCGTCGTCGTCAGTAGATTCCGCGCTGGATTCCTCGGAAGAGGAATTTAACTCCGAAGAGCTATCATCGCTGGGGGTGACGATCGAGGCGGCCTTGCGGTGGGACTTTTTCTTTTTCGAGCGGTTGGGATCCTGGTCTTTTGTCGCATGCTTGGAACACACGGACTTTTTGGCGACGGGTTCGGAGACCGCGACGGGGGCTTTGGGGTCGGACTTGACTGGGGGAGCATCGACGGGCGGGTCGGCGTCGAGCTTGGATTCGGGGGAGGAGGAGACGGGGCCACTAGCGTCGGCCATGGTGGTACCAGTAGTGGTAGCACTGCTGGAGTCGCTGGTGGTGGCAGGGAGTGGAGCTGAGCCAGGGACCGGGACGGGCACAGGCCCACTCGTGGCCGGATTGCTGTTGGAGCTTGGGTCGCGCTGAGTCTCGAGCTCCGTTTGCTGGGAAGGGGATTGGGAATCAGTGGGGATGGTCATGACAGGGAGGAGAGATGAGTAGTGTGGAAAAAGTTGGGAATATATGAAGATCAGAAAAAGAAAAGAAAGACAGTTAGACAGTTAGAGATGGAAGGGGATGATGAGTAGTGATACGGAGTAAGGAGAGATGGGAGAGAGTGGATGATGGACGATTAATGGGAGGAAGATTGGGGGAAAATGCCGTGGATGGGGAAATGGGAGAAAGAGAGAGCGAGCGAGAGAGAGACTCACATATTCGGATGCCTAAGAATAAAAACTATCCTCGCTTGCAAGAGCGCCTTGCGTGTTGGCCCAGCAGATGGCGGTGTGTGCTGCCTGACCACCCAAGATGAGAGTGTGTGTGTGAAAGAGAGAGAAAGAAAGAAGAAGAGAAGAGAATAGAAGGGAAAGAGGGAAAAGAACAAACAAAATGACAAGCAGATCGACGAGCCAAAGTAATCAATAAATACCCTTAAAGAGTGAGGCGATTGATTGACTGTGACTGACTGACTGACTTTGACTCCAAGTACAGAGCAATGATGCCTGTTCAACCTGATGCTCTGCCTGCTGCACAAATGAAAAAGAAAATTATAAAGAAAGGAACTCGCCGGATTGGGAAGAGGCTGGGATAGCTTCAAAATTGGCAGTGCCAATAATAATGCACATCTCACCGGGTCAGCAAATGCATCACGATTGGATTGTCACCCTGCCAGGCGCTTGGAAGGAGTGGCACAGACTTTCCGACCCCCCAAACCCAAACAGCCATTCAGCCGCAGAATCAACTGGATCATCTCGCGCAGTCTGGAGAGAGCCATCCCCGGTCACCGACATTTGCCAACGTGCGTGTGTCTCACATGTGCTGTCAGTGCAGTGCAGTGCAGTCACGGTTGGGGATGGAAAGTTGATCGGGAAAGTAAGTAGTAATCAGATGGATGGATGATCATCGAGATGGAATAAAATGAAGGAAAGGGAATAGTTACTAGTGAAGTGGTAGTCACTGGATAACAGGCAGCAGAAGCAAGCAGTGACACATTTAGCAGGAGGAGTCATACTGATCCTCATCAACACTGACAGGCAGCCTTGCTCGTATTCGTCCGAGTCCTGACCAACTGATATTCTCCGTTCCCGTTCCAGTTCCAGATCCCTGCCTGCCTGCAGCTGAACCAGGTGAAGAGTTTCCCACTCCCTTGCAAGGCCCGGGATATTCATCCGCGGCAAAGTACCACAGCTCGGTACTTTTGTGCAGCAGCCAACCCTAATACTTTTTATCCATGTCTTATCTTACAACCTAGTGTATATTGACTAGAGAGTTGAGATCTCAAATTAAGATGCTTACTCGCATTCAAGATTCAACTATATATTGTCCCCACTCAAAATACGGTAGACGTCTCACGAACAGTAGAGCGAGTGTACCTTAAAGCCAATGTATTGGCTTAATCCAAGATTAACAACACCATAGCAGTGTTGATGCTTCAACATCTACATAAAAGCTAGATAAGAACCAACATCAGCTGAAGTGTCATCTATACCTAGTAGTTAGTGTCGAATTCGAGCTGGGCCACAAGACAGCCTGTTCTCTTACAGTTCACCCTATCCAAACCCTTATGGTAGACTAGTATATACTGCGTTCACCTCTACTCCATTCGCAAATAAAATCACAAATACTACTATAGATGAAGTGAAGTTCCCATTTTTGCCGACTAGTCCATCCTATTCAAATCAGTTATATCTAATACCCAGCATCCTATCCCTATATTTGAATATAGTATATATCATAACACTCTCATATACCTAAGTGTTCCATACTTCCTAGTAGAAACACTGCCATACCCAACTCCACCAGACCCCCCAATCCAGCTGGCCCACCACTATTCACTCAGCAGGAACAGAGAAANCCTTCACTGTCACCAGTAACACTGACAGAACTCACTATTACCTCTCTACTACCCCCTTCTTCTTCCCCATTACTTCCTCTCTTCCCCCCATTCATGCCTACCTCACCTTCTCCGTCTCCATCCATCCATCTGCATAACTTCCCATCACTCTATCACCACATCACCAAACAAGAACAGTACAAAACAAAACAAAAGACAAGACAAGACACCAACAAGATGTCCTCCAACTCATCAACCTTCACCCCTACCAACGCCCCCCTCCACAATAACAACAATAACAACAACACCAAGAACGGCCCTACCGCCCCAAAGACACCCACCAAGAAAACCAACGTGACAA